TCTTAGTGTTTTTTATTAGACAAACTGTAGGACGGATTGATTGCACCAACATAAGTACTGTAGTAGCCAAAATTAAAACTTTAAAAAGGCTCCAGGTTGAGACATTTGCCAAGTACGAGATCCTACCTATTCTCTCTTAATCAATACATTTGAATTAATAAATAATTTACGCAAAATGAGAAGGATGTTCACGTAGTGAATTTTTGCAAATTAATTTCCAGAGGATCATGTGCTATGATTGATCACGGCTGGTCTCTCATCTGTAATCAGCAATAATCCAATTAGATTGATCCAAGCCTAAATAGACAGATTGCACCCTACTGCCATATCTTCGTTTTGGAAGAATCCCACCTTCCACCCCATCTCCTCCTTTTACCAGGGAGACCTCTCGAGACCTATTAAATTATCTCCAAGCTCATGGTTCTCTCCCAGGACAGCATACCAAAACTACTACTAGTGTGAAGCAATATCTAATTGTGAACCCTCGAAGTACTTTAGGGTTAAAGCAGCTGATATTAGAACATTCATTCATTCATTCATTTATTTATTCATTCATTTTCCTTGGGCTTAGTCTCTATTTCAAAGCAGAATGAACAGTCAACTATTCCAGCATATGTTTTACGCAGCGAATGCCCTTCCAGCTGCAATCCAGTATTGGGAAACATTACTCATTCACGCACACACTTATACACTATGGCGAATTTAGTTTATTTAATTCAACCTATTGCGCATGTCTTTGGACTATGGGGAAAGCTGGAGCACCTGGTGTAAACCCACGCAAACACTGGGAGAACACACAGACTCTACACAGAAATCCCTCAGCCGGGACTCGAACCAGCGACCTTCTTTCTGTGTGGAGACAGTGCTGCCCCGGTATTAAAACAATGCATATCTAAACATGCTATTGTGGACGTTCAATGAATGAATAAAAAAAATCAGTTAATGGAAAAGAATGACTGATCAGAATAATGCGTGTGAAAAAAATGAAATGAATAAAAGGTTGACCAAAGGGAAGTTTGACAGAAAGAATGAATAAAGGAACAAAAAAGGACTACTGAAAAAAAAAACTGAAAGAGGGTAAAGTATGAAAGACTAAAAGACATGTACTTTGTGAGATTCTCAGCATGGAAGGTGTTGCCTCAACAGTTCGGTCCTTTATTCTGACAAATTAATTCATTTCCCTCTTCGTTTTCTTTTATACCCTATACAGCTTTTCCTAATGAAACTTCACAAAGGAACAAGGCTGTTGTCCCAGAGAGCTCTTCTCGCATAAGCACCACATAAGGGGAAGGTATTCTGTTATTGACCTGCAGGCATTCTCATGGGAAGAAACCATAGACAAAAGCCCAGGCAGGAGAGCAGAGTGGACAGACCGGACAGACTCTCTGTAGGCACACTCAAAATATGACTGTGGCCCTTTCAGACACTGAATCCGGGTGATGACACATACTTGGCAAAACTGAAAAACACATCTCCCTACTGCCTGCCCCTTCTTTCCCTCCCTCTTTTCTCTTGTTGGCACAAATAGAAAACCATTGTGCATTGTCTCAGAATATCTGGAACCATTTTTTAATGTTAAAAAAGTAGCTTTAAGTTGTAATGCATAGGCCCTCGATTCCTTGACAGAATAGAAATACTTTGTACACAAAGCTAACTATATTTCGAGACTAAATATCCATACAATTTGTATATATAAGTAAAAATTATTATGGTTGCACCATAGTAGATCACTTGTATCTTTTGATTCCAGAGTCCAGACACTTTGCATAGTTTGTATTGCCTTTGGCTCAAATTATAAGCCTTTGTTTTGGATGTAGCAAAGCTGTACTTGTCCGAAAACATTGAGGTCGCAGCCTGCGATCGACACCGCAGTATTTAAGTTCCTCTCATAGCCGCAAAGCTAAATCTTGCTCCCAGTCTGAGGGAGCGTGGCTCTAGATTACACAGGACTTATTTTTGATTTCACTTCTCATTAGAGCTGCGGTCAGCCAAAATGTAACAATGTGCCAGTCATGGCAGGAATAGAGCGATAAGCAAACATGCTTTGACAGATGTGGTCACAGTATCCCGGCACACTGATTGGACTCTAGATGAAGCAAAGTGGCCAGTTTTGGGATCGCGTGATACTGCTGGTCCCTCGAGAGTTGTCAAAGAGCAAGCATGTGCTCCTGCATGTGAAAAAGCTTCTGGTGGCCTCTTAATTTCAATCCCTGTCTACATCTTCTACAGGCGAGAGGTATCAGCCCATGCCAGAGTTTAGATTTCAAGTTATTTGTCTCACTAACACCAATTAGAATCATTCTAGGGAGTCAGACATCCTCGGGGTGCTGTCAAGCCGAATCAGGCAGTGGCTCAAGAATTCATGTACTCGTCATGCAATTTGAGAGTCTTTGCTTTTCTTGATCTTCAGTTACAATCCACCACTAGACTCCCAAGTGTTCCTTACTGATTCACACTTTATGCGAAAGCTGATCTCAGAAGCGGGCCTGGCATAGATGCTGTTGTCTTGTCTGAGCTGCTGGGTGTCGAGTCTCCAGGCTATGGTGTTTGTTTTCTCTGGCTCACCAAAGTATCCAGTAAATTGGCTAGTTCTTCCAACTGATTCGAAGGTGTAATTGAGCCACAATAGCTCTCGTGCTATCCCTTTGTTCGGAAGGTTGACGATCTGATCTGACGAATGGTTTGGAGAGAATAAAGAAGGCATACCTACGGGAGAATGTCTGCCAAGTAAGTGAAAGATTTGAAGTCAAGGCAGGGATCTGAAAAGCATCTGATGACGGAGAGCTTTATTTCATTGACAAGTGTAGCTCTGGAAGCATCTGTTATTCTTATGGAATCTCACTAAGCATGTCCAACGCAACTTGTTGAAAATTTCCCCCAAGACTATACCAAGAAGTTGAAGCACGTCCTGAACTAGTTCTTTTTGGCAGTTTGGTCTGTTGAAACATCTCCTTGCTTTTCCCAGTTCCATCTGTTCTCACGGACAACGGGTAGACAGGCGTTTGCTGCTGGCAACTGTGCAAGTGTGCTTGCAAGTATGGTAGCAAATGATCAAAGACGTTTGGCTTGCTCTGCAGCCAGAGATCCATTGCTCTTTTTGCATCACATATTTCACTTGTAAGCATGTTTCCATTAAACACTTTGTCTTTATTCCGTGTTAATTACAAGTTCTTGGCACCATTTTTTGTGAAGACAGATTATCCAGTCGCTCTAATGGGGTGTTATCGTAGTTGTCACATATTTTCTGTTGCATGTTTTAATTACAGCTTATGTCAATGCTTGCACTCTCTAAGGAGGCTAATTACACTCTGGTTCATGTGTGCATGCATACATTCACGATCACAGGGGGTAGAGGGTGTTTGTTTCACAGCAAGATACCACCGCCTAGGGTTTGAATGACATGGATTTTGGCATGGATGACTGCATATGGCATAACGTAACTGCCTAGTTGCTTTGTTTACACGTGTTTGTGTTGTTTGTTTGCCTTAAGGGCTCTCTCAATCTTGTTGGGCGGTGCAATGCAGTCAGACAGCATGGGCACAGTGTGCATCTATGGCCTCCAGAGCATATTCAGCCTTGCCTCCTCCTGTTCCCTGCACAGCTTTATGCTTTTACGAAACCTTCTTCAGACACATTTAGAGTCTTTCTTCCAGGAAACCACACATTTTTACTTTTCTTCCACCCTCTTGCATTTCATTCCACCTTAGCTTTTTTCCTTTGTCTGTTGGTCTCTTTGGGATAGCCAATAAACTATTTCTGTCACAGTCGGATTGGTTTGATTGACAGGAATCGGTACAATTTTATTCTTGCTTAAGGCTAAACAGAGGTCCCTGTCCCTCTGTTGATCATTTGTTTATGTTTGGGCAAGGGTGTGGTACTTGAAATTAGTTTTTAAACTGAGGAAAATTGTGATTAGTGATCCCTCCTCTTCTTTCCTCCTGTCTTACTTTGTCCCAGTCAACCCTCGCACATATTACTTTGCAAAGTAACATTTATGTTTGGAATGTCAAATTGTTTAACTGCATGCTATTCCTAAACTGAATAGTATGGGACTGCTTTATTTAGTAGAAGGGTATATTTAGAAATTAAATAGGTAGTGTTGCAATTTCAAAGCATTATACTTCCGGTCAGAGGTGTCCATTCCTGCTCCTGGTAAAGCTGTGTACTACAATTTGTGCATGTAAAACTCTTCCCTTGGGGTATTCTAATGAGTCACATTCAGTTGTGTTTGGTTATAGTATTTTAAATGGTGATCAGAAGGTTAATTTCAGATCTGTTTCAGGTTCTTTATGATTAATAAATAAATTAAGCAATACATTTGTATACAAAAAACTATGAGGGCAGTAAGCGAAAAGATCTTGTCATGATCTCATAGATCCTAATGTCCTTTTATTTTGGATAGTTCTGTTGATGTTCTGCTAAATCTGGCACACTAGAAGATCAATTTCCTACATACTGAAGCATTCAGTTTTTACATTTACAAAGTTTTTCATGTAAATAGTGAATCACATCTCCCTTTCAGCGTGAGTTGTAGATGAAACTCTGATTGGTTTAAAGCTGGGGTGCCCAAACTCTGGCCTGGAGGGTTTAGTTCCAGTTTGGTTCCAACACCAATTAAACACACCTGAATCAGGTAATCAAGCTCTTCCTAGGTATACTAGAAACTTTCAGGCAGGTGTACTAAAAGAAATTGGAGCTAAACTATGCAGGACACCGGCCCTCCAGGAGTTTGACACCCCTGGTTTAAAGCATGCTACACCCAAAACACCCCCATAACTCTTTAAGAGAATGAGAAAAAAACCCTTTTAGACCATTTGTCAACCATTTTTCCCATGCTTAAAATAGCAAAAGTGGATTCAGATACTTCATAAGTGCACCTGCACCTTGCTCTTCAGACCTTAGAACATTAAGTTTGAGACTGATAATGTTTATAATTAGCTTTTTGAATTCTGTAAATGTCATTATGATTTTTAAAAATATATATATTTTTCTCCACGCAGCCGAGCAATCAAGACCAACCAGGACCTTTTCCCTGAAACACCCTGGATCAACATCTTCTATGATGACTTCTGGGGAACACTTCTCACCCACAGCGGAAGTCACAAGTCCTATCGCCCGCTCTGCACGCTCTCCTTTCGGCTTAACTACGCACTCGGTGGCTTAGATCCCTGGGGTTACCATCTGGTCAATGTGGTTCTACACTGCACTGCGACTGGCCTGTTCTCTAGCCTCTCAAGCCTGCTGTTGGGGTCGGGTTGCTGGAGCCTGCTGGCTGGGCTTCTCTTTGCCGCTCACCCCATCCACACCGAGGCTGTTGCGGGCATTGTGGGTCGGGCAGACGTGGGAGCTGCTCTCTTCTATCTCCTGGCCCTGCGCTGCTACATATGCCACTGTACCTTGAGGACAAGCAGTGCCCACGGATGGAGCTGGATGTGGTTTTTGGGTACCTTGGGATGTGCTTCATGTAGCATGCTGTGGAAGGAACAAGGCGTGACGGTGTTGGCTGTGGCTGCCATCTATGATGTGTTTGTCTTCCACAAGCTGAAGCTGCAACAGGTTCCTGCTCTCTTCCAGAAGGTACAGTACAACCTTTATTCTGCTCTGCTTTGTATAGATGTATCAGGTTTGTGGATGGATATAGAATACCGCATGTATGCTTGTGGATAATTTGTATAAAAGTTCATGTCTGATGTTTGCTTTCTATCAAGTTAAGATTTGGAAAACATTTTGGCATGTATGTTCAACTGAGTGAACCGTAACAAACTGCCATTTTATCTTCCTAATGCAGTAGAAAAATGCTCGAACCAAGGGAAATCAAAAGAAAATTGGTGTTTGTTTGGGGTATTTACATACATGCATCTGGCCGGAGATGTTTATGTTTTCTCTTGGCAGCACACAGCGGCCTGTAATTACATGAAAATGTTTCTGCACCACATCAAGTTTCTGTAACCTTATTGCAGTTATTCTCACTGCCCTGATTTTGAGTTTGCTAAACACGAACTCTTTAAATCTCAATGACCCGTTTTGCTTTCTTAAACTGCCATTCTTCCGAACCGGTCACGGGTGAAGTCAGTCCCCTGTAAACTCCTGTATTTAATGAACCTATTATAATTGGAAAATTTTCCAGTGCGGCCGGAGAGGCCTGGCTGACGTTCTGAAGTACTTTTATTAATGGTCAGGGTGCAATCGTAAGCGAATGCTCCTTTAATGATGCCTAATGATGTGGATGTATTGTGTTTACATGAGAATGGTAATTAGATCAGTGTTCACTCATAAACAGTGGAAGTCAGTGCGTGTGCGCAGTGAAGTATGGTGGACAAAGCAGGACAGGGAAATCAATGAAATTAGAAGGATTGCAAACAGCAGTGGCATGCTCCTTAGAGCAAATCTCTGTTCTTCAAGCACTTGACTATCAGTTCGACTTTTGCTCAACCCAGGCTTGTCAGAAGGATTTACCATCAGCTGTCAAAATGCAGTAACATTCGTAATCTTCATCCAGTCAGCGCAAACTATATTGACGTGTGCACAAATGTGACCGCAGATTAGAGACCCATTGACCTCTCATGCCAGAGGGGAAAGATTTTTTTCACCCCCTAAAAAAAATGTTTGTTTTTGGTAATCAGAAATGAACTAGAGGGATAACTCCCTAGATATTTATGAAATAGGGGGTCAGATATGGGTGGTTATATGTAGTAGGGTTGGCACAATACTGGAATTCGATACCAATCGTTACTGAAATAAAAAAATAATAATTTCTTGCGAACATTTGAGTGCTGTGGAGCACGTTCTTAAACAGCACTGAATTCCCATTGTGTTCATGTGCTCAACAAAAATGACTGATAGCCTGTGAAGATCATCGGTTTACCAAACTCACCGCTGTTTACTCAGTGTAACCACAGATACAGAAACACTGGAGCGTTTCAAAGTCAAATTGATCTGCTAGTTTGCCTATAAGACGACATACGAGCGATGCGCTGATGTATCGCAGCTTTCACTCCAGTGTGCCTGTATCTGTGGCTATATGCAGTAAACAGCAGTGATTTTGGTGAACCGATGACCTTCACGGCCAAACAGGGTCATTTCTGTTGAGCGTTGAGGTTTTTTAAAAACCTCCTCAACAGCACTTAAATGTTAGCGGAAAATAGACATTTTTAAAATTTCAGTATCGATCTGTACCGAATTCCTGTATCGTGACAACCCTAATATGTAGATGTTTATTTTGAAAAATTTAATTAAATATTTTGATACTGGATATCTATATAGTATATTGGTTATTTAATTGTGCTTTGTCATTTCATATATGTTTTATATTTCAATATAGGACACACGCATCTCTTAATAACGCCTTTAAATGTCTTTTGCAGATCTCAAAATACATTTAATAGACATTGTAGGTATATTTATATATGTTTAATTATATCAGATCTTTAACCTTCACTTTTACCTGACAATTGCTGTAAAAGTCACTAAAGTGAATCTTTAATTTTTTAAATACTTTTACACATCTATATTATTTAATAAAACAAACTGAATTATTTGAAAAATTATAACAAAAAAATACCATGTGATAAAAGTGAGCTTGAACTTTTTTATGTTAATAGATTATGTATCTTTGTCATTGCAAGGCACTTTCACTTATTCTTTATTAACTAATATTATGTATAAAAATAAAAATAAAATATTATACCCAATGCAGTGTTCATTGTTAGTTAATGTTGGTTGATGCATAAAATAACGGGACTTTGTTGTTTACCATTATTTGAATCCGTTTAGCCAATATCAGAGTTCTTTTTATGACCACAACTTTAACTTAATCAGCTAGAATTGTAATATTGTTTATGTTAATCTTATTCAATAGGTAAAAGTTGTTCTGAAAGAGTTTTTGTATTTTATTCAATACATTTGAATGCATTCAAAATAAATAGACAAAATTCTCAGTTTTATGTGTGAAAAGGTGCAAAAATGCTTCTCAATTGTGCAGTTGTGAATGTTTTTGAGTTGTGCTTGCAAGAATAATTTGGAATAGGACTTCACTTCACAGAAATGTTATGTGACATCTCTGAGAGAGGCTGAGCTGGTTTGCCGTCTGCCTTTGGCTTATTCATAGACTGCAGCAGACAGACTCTCTGATGGCACATCACTTCAGCCCCAGGAAAACTGGCCTGTAGGTGACAAAAGAGCATGATCTCTCATATCTGACAGCTCCCTGCACTCGGATTGACCATCTCCCCATCAATCATCAGCTCTCCTATTGGCCTCAAGCTGTCATTTTAACTATATTAAGCCATACAGTAGAAAATGCTGTACTAGAGAGCAGTCGCCTGTCTGCAAAAAACCCTATGTGCTACACAGTGGGGGAAATAAGTATTGAACATGTTTTTCCTAGGATTTCTAAAAAAGCTTTTTGCATGGAATTGAATCCGATTTTGCTCAGGTGTTTTTTTTTTCACAGACTTCAACAGAGTGTAATAATCTGGATCGTCATGTGGGTCTCATCTATCAAATCTTATCTTTAATTTGTATTTTCTATTGGATTCAAGTCAGGTGATTGGCTGGGCCATTCTACAGCTTGGTTTTCTTTCTCTGAAAGCATTTGAGAGTTTCCTTGGTTGAGTTTTGGATCATTTTCAAGGTGAAATGGCCACCCTGGTTTCATCATCCTGGTAAAATGTAAATGATGGACTGAAGCAGCTGTTATTAATTTACAAAGACAAAGAGCAGAGGGTTGCTGAATAACCTCTTATAAATTTCAGCTGCTGTCTGGGCTTTCACTGCCTCTCTATACCTCCCTTTAATCATGTGTTCAATACTTTTTCCTTGTGCAATTTCATTTTATTACACATAACTAAATTTATTTTTAAAAAGTAATAATTTCAAATTACTACAGAAAAATTGTAATCTGATTACACTACTAATTGCTTAATGTAAAAAAGTAATCAGGTTACCAATTACTTTACTTTGAAGTTACTTTTAAAACAAATTTAATATACATATTAAAATACGAATTAAACTGCAGCTCTTTCATTAATTTAAAATTGATTGAAAAACATTACAATGAATGGATCACAGCAGCCTAACATATTCAAAAGACTTAAAGAGTTCGCCCAAAATTTTAAATTCTCTCATCATTCACTTGTTCCAAAGCTGTTTGTCTTTTTGTTTTTAACACGAAAGACATGAAGAAAACTGAATACCTGTAACCATTGACATCCATAGAAGGTCCACCATGTATTTGGGCGCCTGTATCCTCCTTGGTGATGAGTATTGTTGTAATGCTTTCTATTCAAGTGCTTGAAGTTGCTGGTTGAGTTAAAAGCCATTGAAAGTTCTTTAAAGACTGGACATAGACTTCATTTCACAGCAATATTTTAGTTTTTACTAACCCTTTCAGCTTGCATCTTCAGCAATTTAAAAGTACATTCTTATTAACTGATTTTGCATGATTTAAAAGAAGCTGTTTTCTTCTAAAAACTATATTTGTAATGTAAGTAACGCAATTACACTGACTTTGGTTACTGTAATCAAATGCCACAAATTTAAAATGTAATTCGTTACCTTACTGCGTTTTCCAAAAATGTCATTAGACTACAGTAACTCATTACTTTAGAACATGTTACACCCAACTCTTTACATAACTTAATTTGTAAACTAATTAGTTTTGTTTTCTTTGCATATATAGATTTATATGGTTGTTACCAACATCCGGTAAACATTTCAATCCAACAGCACCTTTAGAAATAAGTTTTCTGAGAAAAATGATGATGTGTTCAATTCTTATTTCCCTCCACTGTATCCTTTCCACATCAGGGCTCGGCTGTGTTTTCACATCTCTGTCAACCAGTTCAATAGCATTAGCACATTGTCAAACGCAAATAATTCCAGATTTTCGTCTTTGTGGAAAAAAAAAAAAAGCGGTGTCACTCTGACTTATGATGGCTTAGCGTAAAGTCAAGCCAAAGGGGAAGCCAGAATTGCTATGTAAACACATAAGCATCAAGGCATCTACGATCCGCAAGCCCAAGGACAAATACTTCTCATCTGCCCGCCTGTAATACGGCGATAATTCCAGAGATGAAAGCTGGACGGGTTTTAGCAAGGAGACAAACTGTTTCCTACATCCAAGACTCATTCGCCATAATGAGACGATAAACTAAACGGAGGGGAACAAACTCCAAAACACCGGCGTTAGATGTTGGAGCGCATTCGTCAACTGTGGCACAATAAACACGTCTATAATTCTCTCTGCGTGGGTTTTTTGGTGCGATGCGTCTGTGAGCTTGGTTAATGTATGAGGAGCAGAGACATATTAATGGCCGGTCTGTATTAAAAGCGCAGGCGTTGTATGAGAATAGCAGTGCGACCGTAAATTGGGCCCTTATCTGATTGCGGTATGCGGTTTATGACATCATCCCATAGCTTTATATATCGATGTTAAATCAGAATGTCTGCTATAAGTAAAAGCTCCCTGGGCAGCTGGTCTGGACTCGGGATGATCACTTATGGAGATGGATGGTGCATTGGATTCAATTATCTCAGGTTTAAGAGGGTCTGGTCGTTTTGAGGCCGCTATGCTGCAT